GGAGAAGGGGGGGGGGGGGGGGGGGGGAAGGGGAAAAAAGGGGGGGGGGGGGGGGGGGGGGAGGGGGCAGACCGATGATGCTTCCCCACGCCAACCGGCCGGTAGTTGGCAAGACTCGCGTGGTTTGTTGTTTTGGGGGTTGCAGGGATAAGTATGTAGGGGGCTCAACAACTGGGCTGGCAGCCGCGGCACTGGCGTATGCCTAACACAAGGGGAGGGGTTCTTGCCGCCGGGACAACCAACGTACGCAGACTACATCCTGACGAAAGACGCGCCCACGACAACATCCTCGACCACACCGAAAAGGTGGCTCCGGGGCGGACTGTGACGCTTGACAGAGCCCTCAATCGAAATGTCATCCCACACACGATATCCTACGTAGGGGGGCAATTTTCTTCCAACGCATATATGGACGCCACGCCCTCACTTCCGAGTGGGTGTCTCCCTCATGAAGCACGCAGTTCTCGGCACCTTCCTCGTAGTTGATCACGATCTGAACCGCAAGCTTTGCCTGTACATGTGCACGGGGCAGTCAGTGCGGGGTTACTTGGAGTGTTGTTAGCTTGAACGGGGTGGTGGGTGGAGGTTGCTGTTTACATCGCGTGTTGCATGGATGTTCCTGGACACTTTTTGTTCTGTTGAATGGAAGGCGCGTGAGAGGGAAGGGTAGGTGTGAACCAAGGGGGAGGCTGCTAATTACATTCGCATCTACAGCAGCACGCCATACTACTGCTGTACTTCACACATGTAGCAGTGGGTTAGGGTCGTGACAACGGCCTCATCCAGCGCATCACCATGACACACACTTGCGCAGTAATACCTTCAGCAGCGTCAGCTTTACCTACTCGTCTGGCATGATTCGGTGTCTACGTTCACATGTCGCGCGAGTTGTTTGCGGCTTGCCACTACACTACTTCTCTCTGGTTGGTGCTGTGTATGCTATGCATACCAGTACGACGTTTTGTGTAAGGAGACCACCACTATGTTTGTTCCTGCACATACATCTGTGCAACATACGACACACCCATTTTTGTTTTTCCATGTGCTTGCACAATGCAAACAGCTGCAAAGGTTCCTGCAAACCACAACCAATAGGCACCAGCACATACACCGCCGTGGCTCTTTCCCCCCTATCATTCCCGTCTCTCCCGCTCTTGATCTCCACCGCTGTAAGAACAGGCAGCAGGTCGTCCGTGAACCCAACTCACTCACCCCACCAGGCCACTTGGGATCGGGGGTGCCGCTCCCGTATCCCAGCATGTCTCTCTTGGGCGTCCCGTAAATGCCGCCCGACCCACCAACGGCGGGAGCTTTCAAGCGGCTTGTCATGTTTGCTAATATGGACAAGGCAGGTGCAGAGCGGAGTGTGTGAGTGTGAGACGACAGACAGCAGAACTCAAAGACTATGACTGTAAGACTATGTTATTATAAAAGTATAGTCACAGTCTTGAACTAACTCAAGCCTTCTTGGGGTTCCGTGTATCAAAATGTATCTTACAGGTATGATAAACTCCGGTTTGACGGACCCCTGACAGTGAGGCGAAGTAGGCCTAGGCTAGGCGTGTGTGTGCCGTGCCTTGCCGAGCCAGAGCAAAACAGCACGAGCAGGTGCGCCCTTTTCAGCAATACATACTCTCGAAATCTCCTGATAATGCAGGTGTCGTGTCGGTTGTCGTTGCTGTAACCCCTGCCTCGTGCGGACCGGTAAATATCGCGCACAAACAGGTGTAGACTTGTACCGCGTGCGGATTGTTCCGCTGCTGGCCGCAGCAGTTTGCCATCGGGCGGATTTGGTCGTCGGGGACCTCTAGCAGCAGCAGCAGCAGGAATTTCGCGTGCTCTCTCGGGAAGGCATGCCTGTAGTTATCCAGAGCCTTCCTGCTTGCTTAGATCTGTAGTCTGACCCGCAAATCTCACTTGTTTTTTCTCTCCGCTGCCGTCTGTTTCGACCACTTTGCGGATTAGCATTGGCGCTGTACGAGAGGAGCACCAGTGTACCGACGGTGGTTGCTTGGGAGTTGTAACTCGAGCTGACAGCATCAGGGACCAGATTCTTAGGGAAGGGGAGGCCGCTTTGCCGCGATGGCGATGAAAGAGTTCGAGATGTCGGATGTCACGGCAGGTGAGATGGTTCCTTGTTCTTGTTTCTTATGCACAGGATGTGTGTGCATTGAATGTACCAGTATTCGTACAAGCAAGCACTGCTTGTACTGCGTAGTCATGTTTGCCGGTTGCCGGCTACACTGGGTACACCCACAAGTAGCCTTACGTCGTGGGAGGGAGACCCACAGCAGGCCGATACTTGCTGTTGTTGCATCGTTACTCTGGAAGCGCGCCCCGAGAGCAGCGCGTGCATTGCTGTGCAACCAAGTTCGGCTTATTCGCGCTCTACTATTTTTATCGTAAATTACCGCTGTTCGGAGGCCACTCGTCCAAACGTTAAAGTTCCACGCACAGCAGATTGCCATACAATACAGACTCGAAGTACGGAATGGTGCTAAGAATAAGCCCATTACATGTACCCAGCCGGCTTTCCTCCACTCACTGTATAGACTTCAACACACACCCTTCGACTGCGGTTACATCTCGAACGGGTAGACTAGTCTTTCTGTTACACTTTTGTATGTATTTCCCTAAAAGCAGGTACCCTAACGTACCTGGTACTGCCGTACGACACCACTCCTGTAGCAATACCAACCCCCCCGGCAGTTGGCCGTGGCAAAGATTGTTGTTGTTGTTTCTTCAAAGCAGTAACAACCGTTCTGGTGTCCGGTCAGTACCTTGAAACATCCGTACTGGTCTAACTCACGCGGACGGACGCCTCTCGTGGTCACAAGCCAACAACCCCGTACATGTACGACCTATCTTGTAGTAATCACAACTAAGGAGTACACGTTTCTGGAACCCAAAGAATCCATGCGCGGGGAATTCTGGCTTCGGGGACTAGAGACGATGTTGTATACTCAACATCTGGTGGCCCCTACTTGTACATCTGTCACCCGCACCTCACGCCTTCGCTCACGCGAAAGCAGCTGACTGCTCCGGAAAGAGAGGGGGGGTGACCCTTTTCCGCTTTCAGTCCTTTTTCTCCAGTATAATTTCTCCCGCATTCACAAAACCCAGATTCCAAAGATTACAGCAGTCTCGGCAATCTTGTGCGTTTGGGCGAATGACTTTTCTTGCGCATACTTCCTGCTGTTGCTCCAGTTGAGTCCTCACTTTTCCTCCAGTTTTTTTTTTTTTCTTGAGTCACCGTCCACGCTCAATGCCTCTGCCGCGGGCGCGTTGCGTCGAAAAGCTTAAAAAGCTCCATGGTTACCTCAAGGACAGACGCCATCTGAGTATATCTTCTCCATGCTGATCTGCAAGACATAAAAGTGGGCTAGCTCATGATATGTCCTGTTTTTCAAACATTTGCTGGTGATCGGCAACTAATAAATTATAACTGCAGCGATCGACGCATCTAAATGAGACAAGAGAGGACGTGATTTTTTTTTTTGCCCTTGTTTTTTCGGTTTTTTCGAAGGAGGCGAAGACACGGAGGCATTCTACGGGGCTGACGGGGGCAGCAACGGGGTGGACGCGGGGCAGCTGCTGAGTGGCGGGGGAAAGCTGAGCGACGACTCTGCTGCCGGGGGAGGGGAGGCTCAGACGGTGTGGTGCGGGTGCTTGTCCCTGGCCTTCTACCAGCAGGTACAGCAGTGCCGCGAACGTTTGTTGTTGTTGCCGTCGGCGGCTGTGAGCCTCTTGGGCGTTGTTGTTGTTGCTGTTGCTGCTGCTGCTGCTGCTGCTGCCATTTGTTGTGGTAGGTGTTGCTGCTGCTGTTGTTGTCGTTTGCTGCTGTTCTTTTTAGTCTGTTGATGTCGGTTTTCCCTGAACGCCGGGTCAGCCAGCCTAACCCTAACCACCGGGTCAGCCAGCCTAACCCTAACCACCCAAGAAAACAATCGGTACCTCTCAGGGGGAAGCGGGGGGGGGGGGGGGGGGGGGGGG